ATAATGTATATATATATGTGTGTGTGTATATATATATATATGCATATATATAAATATATATATATATATATATTGGAAATGTTTATGATATATCGCCCCAAATGTTGTCTAAGGGTTCCTGCTTGTGTCGTTCACCTCGTTCACTTGGACGAGAACGAGTTTTTACGTATTTATTACATTCAATTGTGCTGGGAACAAGTGTTAAAAGTCGAGTATTTAGAAGATCATCAGAAGCCGTATCCGTATCTGTATTGCTGCCAGGTATAGTCTAATACTTTTAGCAGTCACAAGTGACATCTGATTGTGCTGCCTGAGCCAGTCTTATCTCCGCACGCTTCCTGGAAGCAATGCGGGTCAGTTCACCACCCCACACTAGCGCTATCACACTTTCTGCCACTTTCGCTCAGAATACAATCACTGTGATTCCATCGTGTAAGGCGGTAACCTCACATCAGCGGGGTTTGAAGTTCGATTTCTTTCGAAACAGGACACGGTTTCCAACGAACACATTCGCTGGACTCTATTTTTGAACTGTTTTCCTTCAACTAGTTTCGAAATCTACTTACGCTACCAAAACTACAGTACTTTAAACCAGGCACCCTGGCTCTACGTAGCAAAGCCCATCGTCTCAAATTAAACATTTGTTCCACCGCACCACATCGTGAACAAACTATTGACAAGCCAGTGCTCGAAGCCCTGCCTGCCTGTGTCATCCGAATGCACCATCTATTCCTAAACAGTCGATACCAAACCAGCATCGTTTGGTTGTCGGATATTTGTGAGGCAGTTCTGCGTTTGACTGTTCCAGTGGAGCTCATTTCTTAACGAGCGACAGGAAGGCCTCCTTCGGCACCTCCACATTGCCTATCATCTTCATACGCTTCTTACCGGCTTTCTGCTTCTCTAGTAGCTTCCTCTGTAAACAGAGAGGTGCAACATTGCTAGATCACTACACGCGAAATACCAGACGGGTGTTCTGGAGAATAAAAACGTCCGCAACGAACACTACGCGATGTGGGAGCATGTTAACATGCTGCATTATTATTGGTGTCTGTCTGGTGAGAGTAAGTTATATTCTGCATTATTATTGGTGTATGTTCTGTGGAAGCGCTATCCACATAGAACGTGGCGTTGTTAGTACCAACGAAAGCCAGCTCGCCAGCAACGCACTTGATACAAACTACTCAGAACTCTGTTCGACAATAAAGATGCGAATTGAGGACGGTGTTTACAATATACATGCGTTAATGGTGCGGACAATTTCCTGAAGTTTGGCATCTTTTTCCAAATCTGATATACAAAGGGACGCTTCCAGCGAGCAGGCGCACTAGGAATTGCAGACACTATTTATTCCATAAATCAATAATTAAGTCACGTTCTCAACAGCCCTCATTTAAATAACGGCAGCCGGCACAACAAACAAATGGTACAACGGCAACATCCCAACGCACCAGTAGCGATAGGCGGTATCCACAAACTCACATTCGGTCGGAAATCTAAAAACAATACAAATGAAGCCATTGCCATTGCAAGGATTGGGCCACATATCCCCTAAAAACCCTCACCCTCCCAAAAAACCATTGATTACCTTTCGCGAGACGTCACCTCCATAACATTTGGCCAATACTTGTTTGCGGTACGCTTTGAGAGTTTCGCGCGCTAGCACTTTGTTGTCCATGGAGGCCTGGATGATAATGTCGAATAAACCCCTGTGTGCGCAGTGATGAAGTGTGTATAAGCTATTGGAGATATATCACTTAGGAAGAAATAACGGGATGCATGCTTCGTCGTTTGCGTTCCCAAATGCATAATAAGTATATGCAGATACAGATCGGGCAGCATTGTTAAATTTGCGATATCAATATGAACATTAGGGACGATTGTTGAATTTGGAATATAAATAAGAAAACATTAGAGACACTACTGTATATGATCGACAGGAAATACAGCAAGGACTGTCACAGAAAAGAACTTTAAGCGTGTAGGTGTGCATGCCCACACTGCAAAACTAGATATGCATCAACAAGACGTCCATATACCAATAAAAAAAGGTATAGTATGCGAACATGTGCATGCAGACGACATTTCTAACCTTTTCAAAAGTCGACCTTATTGTAGTTTCAGGCACAGAACGCTCATACACTTGCACATATATGGCATAGCAATGTTTATATTCGAGTGCAGATTACGGAAGTTTATATAAATACACAGGGTAGATAGACATGTTTACACATAGGTAAAACGTACTCCACATTTAGAATGCGTATTCATTTTCATCTTAATATGCATGTATTCACATATCCTCTCATCTGATGACTCCCTATACCACATGATTGTAAATGTACTGTGAGTGGCATCTCCTAATCTTACCTGGACAGAGTCTCCGCGAGCTTTTGCGTTAACCTCTTCCCAATACGTAACGCAGATTGAGTGTGGACGATAGAAGATAGTGCATCAACGGGCTCGCCATTCAGGATGATCTCTAGCTTCTTGATAGGAGCTTTCCTGGAGATCCGCGATGAAATACGACAGGTGATAAAAGTATGTCATGTCAAGAGATGTGCCAAACGGTGGGAGGTGTCGTAAAAGCCTGACTAACAGTTTGGTATTGCAATATAGCTGGGCAAATATAGTTCCATGGGTGCAATCTTGCATGAATATGCATGGAGCCACGTGTGTTTGTAATTATTCCAACTGTGTTATCGCATAACAGGTATATCCATAGATAGGTGGTGCCTACAAGTTAGTTCGTTCTGAGAATATTGCTGCAATCCGTACGACCATCCGTCTCTGAACTGTCCGGCCCATTTATGCATTCCCTTCAATAACCCTCATATACTCGCATGCGCGCTTCTACTGCAACCTCTTTCTTTTGAGCGCAGATTCCAAAAGCTAGAGGACATAAATCCGACTACACTTTCAAGTCTCTATCCTAGGTTTTGGGAGGACCTGAAATTGTGTTTTCATCAACGAGATTGGGTTGAAATCAAAAGCTTGCATTAAATTCTCGCAGAGGCAAGACAACTAGGGTATGACCCGTGATTGACTCAGGTGATACGCATACTGCGCTTATAAATATGACGCGCTGGTAAGGTAATGAAAATATTCACTCATGATAATAATGGCTCTGAATGCTATATCTCTGATGCTCATGCTGAATACAACCAATATGTACCACGTGTGGCACTGGTGAGTTTCGCGCGTGATAATCGCAACTCAAAGAACAACTCACTACCTATTGCACATGGTATACTTGATGAGCTCAAGAATTCTTCCGCTTGTGGTATCATAACTACACTTATTCGTAGCCGTACT